GGGGCTCAGACCCATATACTCCATCACATATTGAAGTCTTAGAAGCCATAAATGGGGCTCTTCCATTCTTTGCTAGAGAGAAGAAGAACTAGTGAGGGAAGAGGATCCCCAAATATAGAGAAATTCTCCTATAAATAGGGAAAGGGGAGGGGGGTATAGTTTTGCCTTAGTGGGAAAAATGGGTCGACATGGGCTGAATGGGCTTACTTGATCAGGCTTCGTACAGGTTAGTGTCTTGGGCCTCAAAGATAATAGTGGGCTGAGGTCCAATATCCCAACACAAGTCTTGCTGTTTTTTGAGTAGTGTGTGGGTGAATTTGCTCAGGAAAGTATACTCACGAGTTCCTCCATGATTTTCCTTAAATTTGTATCTCTGTGTAGTCCTGTTTACTTAGTGGGCATTTTCCCCTTTGGATATAACAATCCGGTGAGACACTCTCCCTTCTGACTGTAGCAGGCGAGGGAAAAGAACTGCGGGCTCGGGTATACCCCTTCGCATCGTATCTCATGTGTTGGACTGTTGGTTATACTATGTTCGTCACAGGGGCCTTGGCAGTTCGTAACTCAATTTTGTTGACCCTTGGAGGGTTGCTTTTTAATTGGTCGGCCCTAAGCACTTTGATCGATTTCGAGGAAGTGGTGTGATGCTCTGTGATAAGGCGTTCGATGTCTAGGACATTATTCTATGTTCACGGACACATATGTGTGTAGATGGAATCCCCTCTAACTAAGGGGCTCAGCTGCCCTACATAAGATGGTGGTGGCCCTAGGGGTTGGGCTCGACTTGGCATGCTTAGGACGTTTGATCTCCGAATGCCCGACACGTTTTTGTTTTGCACGTCTCAAGTTTCTTTACCTCGTCATACCGGACTCGTCATCCTAAACCGTAAACTTTAAACCATAAACCCTAAACTTTAAACCGTAAACTCTAACCTCTAACTCATAATCGACTTGTCTTGATCCACTTGTTTGATCATCAAATTTCCAATTAATTTCCAATTTGTCATCCCTAAAGAATTACTGTGCAAACATTTCTAATGTTGCTCTTTTACTATTCTACTTTTGAATTTTGATATATATTTAAAATACGATATCTTCGATCATATTAAATCGCGGCCTCATCCCGTCTATATACTTTGGCCTAAAGGGTCGGTCTAAATTGGCCCACATATCACTAATAGGGTCGGGCCTAGATAGGCTTACAAATAAAATACAAAATTCTTTATACATCACAAAATACAAATGTAATGAACTAAATCAGTGAAGAAAACATATTTATAAATTTTTGTAGTTTGGTGAAACCTACAATTTGGTCTAGGGTTTTGGTGACCAACGACACGTCCGGTAGGGGAAAATGGTATTCGTGACTTCAAGCACAACAAATTCGTTCATCTCTTATATATTTTCTTTTAGGCAAATTTTACTATCGACTTTCATTTGGGGCTGAAAACTAGGACACACAACTTATATGTTTTGATTTTTGTATATGAACAATACACAGACATGTGAAATCGGAATTAAAAAAAAATCTTAATTTCTGTAGTGTAAATTTATTTCTTTTGTGTCATTTAGCCCCGCTTCGCTACTATTTAGGTGTCATTTATTTTTTGGCGGTTGGCAGCCAAACCGCTAGAAAACGTAGCGTTTTCTTTGTAAAATAATTGACGGTTTGGGCAATCCGTTGATTTCCAAACGGAGCAAACCACTTCGTTTGGAACTCAGCTCAACCTATATTTCTAATATATATAGTGTAGCCTCAAGTTTTTTCAATTCAGTTTTTAGTTTCACCAACCTATCCCTACTTTAAGTCTCCAAGGTCCTTGTACTGCAGCACCGGCCCGCAACAACCACTTTATTTTTATATTAGCACTCTCTAAGTCTCATGTATCTCTTGATCGACATGGAAAATAATAAAGTAAGAAATCAATGGACAATGTATAAGAAATCCCGTGTATAAATATATAAATGAATATAAAGGCTTTTGAATATTTATTAGGAGAAAAGGGTCAAATAAGGCCTTCTACTATTATGAAATAATCACATAAGGCCATGTACTCAATAAAGTGTCATATAAGTACATCTACTTGTATAAAGCAATCAAATGAGTCATAATGACCTATTTAACACCTCTTAATCCCGGTTTCAACGTACTTCTGAACATCTTTTTAGAATACATCATACGGCATATGTCGAATATTTAACTAAGATTGGTTGAAATACAAGTCAAAAAAATCGACATGTAAGCTAAAATCGGGATTAGGAGGTGTTAAATAAGCCGTTAGGACTCATTTGATTGCTTTATACAAGTAGAGGTACTTATATGATACTTTATAGAGTACATGACCTTATGTGACTATTTCATAATAGTAGAAGGCCTTATTTTCTCATTTATTAGTACAATATTTTAGAGTTTTTATTAAAATATTACAAAATAATCGATGGAAAAAAATGTGACTATAAATTACTACGAAGTATGTGAAAGTTTTATAGTCACTATGGTTTAACATTTGAATAGAATTATAGTTACTAAAGTTACCACGATCGCATTTTTGTCTATTGCTTTTATTTTGATCATATATTTGGATTTATTTCAATGTTTTATACTCAAATCAAACACGTCTTAATATACTTTAAGGTTTCATAACGTTGGAAATTTCAATATTCCTTCAACAATATTTAAACATTATTTCAATATATGGATTCACAACATTGCACATCATTGTTCAATTTGCAGGTTTATGCATCAGGACATGAGCGATATAACACAACTGGGGAAACGTGTCTTAGAAACAAAAGTCCTCAATGGACCAAGTAGAATGGATAAAATAATAATGAGAGAATTCTTCAAATAGGAGTAAAACTTGGGCAAAATGCAAAAATATGAGTATCATGTTTTGAATAAGTGTAACTTTAGTGTTTGGACAAGTATACCCCTACCCAAGCCCCAAGCCCCAATAACTTTCATTAATAATTAAAACATAAAAGAAATACTCCGTAAGATTAATTAATATTAAATACTACAAAAAATGTACTCTGTATTAAATAAAATAAAAATACTGTATCAAATAAAATATACTCTGTATTAAATAAAATAAAAATTATTAACATAAAAAAATAAAAAATAAAAAACTAAAAAAAATAAAAAAAAAATGAAAAATGAAAAAAAAAAAAAAAATGTAGGCATCTGCCGCCCCCTCAACAACCTCCCAGCACCATCAGCTCCGACCACCGAAAAAAAGCCAACATTTTCCCGAAGTGCTGGAAGATTTTGAGAAAATTTGGCATTTTCAAAGAGTAAAACTGCCATCTTTATCGCATTTTCAAATAAAAATGGCAGATTTTACATAAAATAGCATTTTTTTCGCCAATCAGAGGTGACATTGCTGGGTGATCACCGAGGCTGTGGGGAAGGCTTGCATTATTTTTTTTTTATTTTTTAATACAGTTTATCTATTTTTTTATTTATTTTTAAAGTTTTTATTTTTAATACATTAGTTTTAAATATTTTAATATTGTTGGGATGAACTTAGATTATTTTTAAAATTAAATGGACTGCATAAAGGTATCGTTTCCGGTGAATGAACTTAGATTTTTTTTTAATAGGATCAAATAAGTCATATTTTGGAATTAACTAGGTTAGGGATATTAAGGGTACAAAATTAATAATTACTCCTATTGAAGGAAATTTTAAGTTTTACTCCTATTTATTCAATTATGTTTATGTTTACGTCCAACAAATACAACATTGCACATAAAAACTTCGAAGGAATTAATTCTCAATTTTAGTATGCTTTGATATGATCATCGATAAAAGTCAAAGAAAACACTAACACTAACGTATTACATATGTTGGACTTTATTTGAAGAAAAATGCATTCGCTCACGCGTAACTATGGGTATGCTTGGTACTAGGGTGGGCGTATCTATTTTCGGTTTGTTTTTTATCGGTTTCGCTTTGGTTCGGTTTGGAACGAGTTAGAAGAATTATTACCAAACAAAAATCATACTATCTTTCGATTTGGTTCGAATCGGTTTGAATTTGTTATTTTTTAATAATATATGAAGGTTTTATTGAATTTCTTTAATTCGATTTGGATTTGTTAATTTTTATTGGGTCATTCTCGGTCTGGTTCGGTTCAATTTAATAAGGGTTGAAAGAATTACTACCAAACTCAAACCAAATTACATATGATTTGGTTTCGATTCGATTTAGTTCGGTTTGGTAGGGTTATGCACTTTGCCCACCCCTATATTTGGTACACTGTTTGCACGCCACTTCTGATAGGACTATTATGTTTGGAATTCTAAAATAGAACTACAATGTTTTTATTCTCGAAATGGGACTAACATGACAACATTTGCTGCCATCTTGTAGGTGTGAGTACCAAATTATTGCAGTACAATACATTTTACATGACAATATTTATTAATAATTAATGACAATATTTTTCAATCATGATAGTATTTTTCATACATGGTAGTAACAACTCCTATTTCCGGAAGAAAAACCTAATAGTCATATTTTGAAATTTCAAACCTCATTTACTCCTATTTAGGGCAATTTCACAAATTTATTTAACCTCTTCTATTAATGTTCAACATTTAGGGGGTGTTTGGAACTCATTCTGATTCTGTTTCTTTTTTAAAACAAAATCATAATCAGTTTTAAGAGGAGTCTCCCCCAACTTCTAAAAAAACTCATACTCCCTCCGTCCCACAATGAACTTCATAGTTTGACCTACACACATATTAAGGAAGTAAACTTACCATGAAGTAAATTTTACTGTTTTGACACTGTTTCGACATTGTTTGACACTGTTTTGCACTGTTTGGACACTGTTTGGCACTGTTTTAATGTAGATTAACTTGTCATTTAAAGAAATGAGAACTTGTTTCTGAGACATCCAAAAAAGGAAAGTGAGAAGTTCATTGCGGGACGAAAGGAGTATAAATTAATTAGAACGAATAATTGTGCACTTTTACCCGATCACCGGTGAAAGAACACCCACTGATTTCATATTAACATACTCGGATTATCCGAGTGGGATACTCCAGGAGCATGCTCAGATACTACACTGGTTTGTACCAAGTATAAACTAAAATGAAATTTGTGCTATATTTTACTCCATCCATCTCGGAATTATCTTCATTCTTTCTTTTTTTGCACATTTTTTTACTACACTAGATACTACACATTTTTTTTGCATATGCACGACTCTCCTTCACAAATAAGGAGATAATTAGGGGAAGGAGGTACAGAGAAAATTCAATCTCTCATGCCGGCGCCAGTGCTCGTCTTCCGCCTTGGCCGTCCTGTTTTCCATGACCGACCTGGTGCTGCAGCTTGTAATCGGCGGGTTTGAAATTAAAAGTGCTGATTTTTTATACTTAACCCAAACGAGGCCGTTATCAGACCAAAGCCCCAAATGCTGAAATTGTCTGAAAGGCCGAGGGAAGAGAACGTGAGGCAGTGAGGAGCCGATTGAGTGATTTGGGTCTGCCGATTGGGTGAGGAACGGAGACTAGGCGAGCGTCTGGTCGTCTTTGCTTGAGCTTCAATTTTTCACTGCTTCAGGTTTATTATTTTGTTGTGCAGCTTGCGATTGATTTATGGTTTTAGTAATTCAATTTCGGGAGATTTGGGTTGCAATTAATTTATATATAAGTTGCGCTTCAGTCTTTGAGACAATGTTGAGTAATGTGTTAATTCTGGGGAGTTGGGAAACTGTTTTAGAAAATCTGCCGGATTTCTCAGAGTATCGTGTTATCACTTTCCGAATCTAATATTTCGACCCTATGCTTGGGTTACACGAAATTTAGATTATGGGGATAATCACTCTAAGAGAGCATCTAAAACTGAGGCACCAATATATAGACCACGAACTAGCAGTTTTAGTAGAACTCGAATTCTTCTGATTACCAAAGAGATAAGGCCAATCAGTTAGAGTTTTACTCTAACAGCGAGACCCCGCCAGGGGCGCTGCCCCTTGGACCCCGCCAGGGGCGCTGCCCCTTGGACCCCGCCAGGGGCGCTGCCCCTTGGACCCCGCAAGGGGGCGCAGCCCCCTTGACCCCCGCCATTTAATCGAACCAAGTTTAAATTTAATTTCGTACAAGTGTGCGCTCCGCACCTCCTAACTTGTCTAAAATTAAACTTGAACTCCATTGGTAATCTGTAAATTCCATTACACTAAAATGAACTTGGTGATACTAAAATCACCAACATAATGTTCTTTTTTTCTTCGTATTATTTAGTTGTTTAGCACTTTAGACTTGAGATCGATTTACTGTTTTTGGCTAAAACTTTTATCCTTTTAATTATTTAACTTTCAGGTTTTAAAGTTTCATAATTGTAATAATCTCTAACTACTTTAGTGATTTAAATCTTTTTACTTGTGTAAACAACTTAATTTAATAAAAAGACTAATGATTTATAGTACACTATACTATATTGTAATATGTATGTAATTAATCATCGAATTAATATTACAATGTATTTATGGGTTTTGTATCTTTTTATTTGTTATGCCTATATGACAATTTGTGATGTGGTTAGTGGGTCTTCTAAATGATCTAAAGAGGTAAAAACATTCTCGTGTGAAATTCTATCCAAATGATGCCGTGGCTGATTCAGGGTTGCATACACCTATGAAGGACATATTATGCATTTCTCATACTTCTTTTATCACAATTTCTCATACACAATTTGAGTTTTAATGTATTTCTTAGCCCCCACAAATGTTATTCTGGTTCCACCCCAGCTCGTGCCTGCAATTTAATCGTAGTTGTCCCTTGTGCCTGCTTTTGTTGATTTTACAGACCTGAAACACTATGAGATTGCTGAAGAAGTTAAGGGAGTGTCTGCATTTTAGTTGCACATTGCAATTCTGGAGAATGACAATCTTCTGGACCCTTGCTCTGGTTTTTTCCTACTTGAAGTTGTATTCGCAAAACTTTTTATTGAAGAAATATAAACGCTATCCACGCTGCTCTCCAAAAGATAGTATATATGTCTCAAAATCTCTAACTAGGCCAGTCTGCGTAATAACTGGGGTAAATTGTCTGTCTATTCTCATCATCAATATAATGACTTGTTTCAGTTCTGATGCATTTTGTGAATATGTATTTATTTTTGGTGCTATATGCTGGAATGAGCTAGTATGCCGTTTTGGGTTTCACATGCAGGCTACGTCTGGTTTGGGAGCCGCCGCCGCCAATGCATTCGCCAATGAAGGCTTTTATGTTGTTCTTGGTACTTCACCTTTTTAGTTTCCTCCTACTAAAATCATTTCCATAATAGATAATGTCATTAGTCATATTTAAGTAACTGGATAGTATATCTTTCATTATTTATTGCTCATTCTCTTGGCATTTTAAAGTGTTGGGAAAAAAGAAAACATGTGCATTGAGGGTTGAGGAATACTTTAAATCCACGAACTTAGCTTCATAGTGGTCATGATTCGTTAAGTTTAAAAATTGAAGAGGAAATTGTGGAAGTAGCATTAGTTTCTGCCCTTTGTTCCAAAACTGCAATTTGATTTTCCTTTTATCACTGCAGTAGGGAGATCATCTGAACAGCTATCAAAGGTTTGATAATGGTCCCTTTGTTATTGCTAATAAGTAAAAATCCATCTTTTTCATTTTCGCATTCAATGTTTTTGTATCTAACCTCGTTTCAGGTTACATATGATATCAGGAAAAATAAGGTTGGTGTTTGCCTGAAAGCCTTTGAGGTTGATGTAACCTCCTTTGAGTCGATTTTCAAGTTCAAGAGGTCACTTCAACAGTGGCTGCTCGATTCAAATTTGCATCCTTCTATTCAACTCCTGATAAATAATGCTGGAATCCTTGCAACAACCTCTCGAGTCACTTCTGAAGGATATGACCAGTAATTACTTTAAAACACTTATACAAGTTACAAGTAATTATGAGTAGTAAACTGTTTTGTCAGGTTGATTGTACTTTTCATTAGATGCTTGCTACCCCACAGTCTAATACACGCAGAATAATAGAAGAAGGTTGTAAATGCATGGCTGAAATATGTTATTTTGCCACCATCAATTCGCCCCACGCGTCTGTGCATGGTAGTCAAAATTGCGACCTAGGTCATAGGATCATACAATTATACGATCCCCACTACCTCCTATGATCCCTTTTTTACTGAAAATCGTAAACTAAACAAGATTGGCAAGATTGCCAAGCGGAACAATGAAATCGTTGAAGCGCTGCTGGATTGCGATTCATTAGCTATACTTGTTGTGAATTTGAGAAACTTCCTAGTTCAGGAATCATCGATCTTCTTCTGCATCGACCTACAAGCCTGCATCAGGTTGACCTCCTGTGTTGACCTGCAGGGCTGCATTGCATTGACAGTCAGCTCCAGGGCTTCTTCCTTATCTTCTGCATCGACCTCCTCCTTGACCTCCAGTAGTTATTATTTAGTTAAGACGCATCCTTATCTTTTGTTGATGAATATAATGCTTTTAGTTTTTTGTTTGTTTATTACAGAGTATACTACCATGTATTACTTTAATTTATGAATATACTATTTTTCTTTATCTTTATTGATCATATAGGACTCTATGTTCTACCTATTTAAGTCTTACAAACCTAAATTAATTTTATGGCTTTACTATTTTTACTTTATTACGGAGAAATTAATACAGGGCTTTGTTGAGTCTGTTCTTTCTATATTAGTCTTGCACTCTTGCATACCTAAATTTATTTATGACTACTATTTTATTATACTAATATAGGACATGTTCTGTCTATTTAGTCTTACATACCCAAATTAATTTATTACTTCAATACATTTTTAATATAGGACTCTTTGTTCTACCAAAGTCTTATATGACTTTATTATATATGGATCATGTTCAATATCTAATAAAAAATTATATGTATAGTAGGATCTTACGATCCGAGTCATGATCCTACACTTCACCATCTTTAAGTCCCCTTCAGATCCTATGTAGGATCTCAACTTTGACTACCATGCATCTGTGTAATATTCACCCTGTTTCTTTGCTTATATGACCATCACACTATGTATGGGCTGTTTACAGAGTATACTATATAACTCTAGTTAAAGAACTAGAGTTATATGGTGTTTTCTGTAACTTTTAATGTATTTTTTTCATGTAAACACATGTTTTCATGCAACATAGCTAAGTAATTTACCTTTGGATGTAACTTCTAGATACGTGGTATAATTTATTAGTTGTAAGTTTGGTTGGTCTCACATTCCTTTTATTTACGGGAAAAAAAGATGCATATAAAGCATTGTATTACTCCAGTGTAGTTAGATGAGTTCTATGGCACATTCAGTTTCTAAAGATTTGAAAGATGCCTATCACTATTTATACTTATTTCAGGATGTTCACAACGAACTATATCGGAGCATTTTGTATTACCCAAGTCCTGCTCCATTTACTGGAAAGTAGTCCAATCCCTTCACGCGTGGTTAATGTCACATCCTTTACACATCGGAGTGGTAAGAGTAAACCTAACTCAATATCTCTTCAGTTGAATGTCCTATAGATTTTTGTAATATCTAGTTGCTCTGATGTGAGTTTTATACAAGGAATTGCTAGAAGATTGTCTGATGAGTGGTTGTTTCATTTTCTTCCTCTTCGATTCAGTATGGTCCATGCAGGTGGACAAAGGAGCTATCAAGTGTCCATCAAAATTAAAGTGGTACCCCTATGCAGAAATCTATGAGTATTCAAAATGTAAGTGTACTCTGTTTAAGGTCATGCATTGTCTGTTGTTCTAGCCAGCTGCTGATATATGCACCCAATGGGTGACAGTATGCATTTTGTTGTTTTCATATGAACTGCATCGACAAGTTGGCCTGATGGAGAAACGTCATAAGCTCTCTGTAGTGTGAGTGTTTATCCTAATTCCGTATTTAATCTTAACAACAAAGAAACAAATACTCCATAACATGGTATGCTATAATTAACATCTCAATTTTCCCATTCGTTTCTCTTAAAATTGCTCTCCATTAATGGCACCTGGCAATTGTGTTATGTGCCTTTTTAATTCCATATCAATGATTTCATGTTCTTTTTCAAATGCTATAAAAGAGCTGTGGATCCTGGAGCCGTGAAAACCAATATTATGCGAGAAATTCCTTCATGGATTTCACAGCTGTCATATGCAGCCTTGAAAATTTTGGGTATGCTTCAAACACCTGAAGATGCAGTAGGCTCTATTCTTGATGCAGCACTTTCCCCGCCAGTGAGTATTTGCATAAACTAAGCTGTGAGTTTTACTACTTGTGTATAGCTGCATGTTGCATACTTTGTTAAGTTATTGTTAATCTCACGGGAACCTTTATCTCTTTGGACTTGATACATTCATACATTTGTCACATACTCCCCCGACTCCTCAATACCTCAATTGAATGTTTGTGTTATTACTGTAGCGTAGAGAGTATAAACAAAGTCATAATAAAAGCATAAAAGTAATCGATTGCTTCTTGCTGGAGTATTATATGCCTGAGAATTGAAGAGATGCCTTTTTACTTGTATTTGTATGTGCGCGTATAATTCAGTGGCATAGCCAAAAGGATAAATTGGACTAAGCCAGCAAAACAGATTTTTCTTAGATAAACTTTTACATATTTTTTCTACACCGGGATTCAAAGCATTTACTAAATTTGGGGTGGGTCGGGCCTAGTCTGGCCCCCTCTTAGCTGAGCTCCAGTGTATATGGACGTGTGTGTGTTCTCATCCATCTCATTTCAGGAAACATCAGGAGTCTACTTTTTTGGAGGAAATGGAAGAACACTTGCATCATCCGTGCTTTCCTATGATTTGAAAATGTCCAAGAACCTTTGGGATACATCAAATGACCTGTTCCGGGAATTACAAGTAGCTGCTGAGAAGCCTGCGGACATTCACCCTTGACCTAATTTTTTTTTTACTCAGTAACAATCATCAGCATCAACTCCCTTAATCCAACTATTCTGGTTTATTTTTAGTGTTAGTTATTTCTTTAACATTATTTACTACTATAATGTGTAAATAAAGATAATAAACAACTACTTTGTCTTGTGAGCTTGATTTACATATATAAAAATGATCTGATTGTAGAACCATAAACCATAAGGCCATAACTCCCATAGGCAGTGTTTTCATCAAGGTGGACCAAGTTCAGTTCCGGTATAGTTCCAGTTTATACAGAGACAGAGACATGATTAACAACTACTTTGTCTTTGAATCTCAGTTCTTTGGCGCCTTAAGATCATGTTTTATTTGACGAGATAATTAACAATTACTCCGCAATCATGCACAACCATTGTCAATGTGTTTAAAAAACATGTGTTTTTTAATTGCCGATGTGTTTAAATTGCATCCCGAGAACAGTTTCCGGTGGCTTTGGCTTTGTTAGTACTCTACGGTTCGTGAATAATACAATAATGTGTACGTTCATGTATAATACGATACAATTATATAAAATAAAATATATGTTTCGTACGTTCGTAAAATGGATAAAGATACGATGCCTGTGTGGTAGCCGAAGGCTCCTCTGTGGCCGGGGGCTGTATATAGCCGAAGGCTACCCAGGTGCCGAAGGACTGTGAGCCGAAGGCTTCTGATTTCGCCGCTTTTTCCCATAAGCTTTGTATGTAGAGGATCAGCGGATTCCTGAAGTTTGGAGCCTTCAGCGATGGGGTTCTTGGCACTTGGGCTGCTGCGATTTGGGCCTCTTGCGCTCCTTGGGTCTGTTGGGCCTATGTTAGAGTAGTAGGAGTCTGTGGACCGAGGATCCTTGGTCCATATACTCCGTCAAGTTTAAAATGTACAAAATAGTTTTTTCAGATATACGGATTTGAATTCATAGGTACAATAAATAATAAAAATGACATTGCCTCTTTGAGTAGAAGTAGAGATATATTACTAGAGAATATTTGATATTATGGTGGCCATGAGTTTGGTAAGCTGCTGCAATAGTTTCGCTTTGGAGTTTTGGTATGGGTGGGAGAACAAAGGTAGTACGATAGTAATATCGAAACGGATTATGACTTTAAGGAGCTAATTTATTAAATCCGATGACTATTAAATAATTAATGAACATATAAGGCATAATAATTTTTAAGCAATATAAATAGTATTGATAAGCTAGACATTTCACCCCAGCTGTACCACTTTAATGGCGTTTTTTGAATAAAATACGTATCAGTACGTATGGTATATGCATTATACATTTTATCCTTAAAATACATGAATTTTTCAGAATTTTCTGGGACAGGGTTTGAGAGCCACCTTGTTCGTCCAAGACCGTCACCGGATCCTCCTCCTCCGCATCCTCATCCTCGAGCTCTTCCTCAATGTCGGAGATGTCATGTTGTTGATAAAAGCTCCCATCTTGTTGGACCGATAGTTGTTGTAGTTGCGCGTCGGGCATCGCATCCGCATCTCTCCGTTGGTAATCCATTTCAAAATCATCTCGGCTTTGAGAAGAAGACCCGATTATGTCCTTTACCTTTGCGTGAAGTAGGATGATTCCTCTCAATCTCCGTCTTTCGATTGCGTTGGAGGTTATCCATACCTACAGAATGTCTACCACTTTCCATCTTAAGATGTAACAAATGTTAAATTCTAACAAATATGTTAGTGTGGGTACAAAAAACAATGCAAGTAATAACAAATGTAAGTAATTTGTAACTATACTAAAAAAGCGACTTATATATTAAAATGTAAGTGATGTGATTATAATATAAAAATGTGACTTTTTTTAATTGCAACTAGTTTACTAGTTTAATTAAATTGGTACGGTAAGTGCGGTATACCGATTTTCCATTATTTTTGCCCACCCCTAAGCTCACTCGAGCCTTCTTCCCAAACAGGGCTACTTTTAGATTTATTAGCCGAATTTGAAAAATTCCAGTAAATTATGAGCTGAAAGCTCGTGCTAAACACCAGTCTTAGTAAATTCTGTATTTAGCTTACCAACCTTATCAACAATTATTTTTACTCAAAACATAATTTTTTATTTCGCGCGTTAAACTTTACTCCCTTCATCCTAGAGCCGTCAAAACGGGCCGAAGCCTGCGGGTTGGCCCGTCTCAACCCACTTATAAGTGGGTTAGGGTCGTCATTTTTAGGCCCGATTATTTTGCGGGCTTGGTGGCTCAACCCTAACGGGTTGCGGGGTTAGCGGGCCAACCCGTACGGGTTACGGGTCAACCCGCGGGCTGGAGACAAAAATCATACTTCGTATATTCTATGTATATATAATTCTATATAGCACTGATCGTCAAAGTAACAAATAACAAATATACCATAGCCGAACAGACGGAAGGTCACAAAGGACTGAAGGAGATGAAGAGACATGTTTCTTTGGAAGTCTGGGAGAATTCGTATAGCCAAACAAAAAATTGGGAAAATCAATTGTATCTTCTATTTTACTCTCTCTTTACTTCTAGTTCTTTCCTCACTTCTAATACTAATGTATTTTGTATTCATCTACTCTTTGTGTTCTCTCTTCTATGTGGCTTCTGGAGATGGATAATTTAGCTCCAAATTGGTCTGCAAATGAATTTAATGGAGTGTTGAGTTCTGCAGATAATTTGAACTTTGAACTTTGAAAAGAAGGACTATTGTTTGATCAAAGCTATCATGTTTTTGTTTTGAGTTGAATTAAAACATTAAACATTTGTAATGGTGTTTACCTTTTAAACTCTTGGACATTTTTTTTGTTTTGACATTTATGGCCTGCGGGTTGGCCCGCATAACCCCTGGGTTAGGTGGGTTGGGTTAGGGTCATAAAAATCCCGGCCGACAGTAAACAGGTTGGCCCGCCCCGTCCCGTGCAACTCATAACCCACCGCGGGTCGGGTCGTGTTGGCCCCGTTTGATAGCTCTACTTCATCCCTTAAAATTTGACCATCACGGACATTAATAAAGTAAAAATTGTGCGGTTGAAGTTTGTGTAGAGGAGAAAAAATTAACTGGAATCACTAATTGTTATTTAAAAGGGAAACTGACAAAGTTGGAAAGACGATTAAAAAAGAAAAGTTGATAAAGCTTTAAGCGACGGAATAAGTATAAGAATCAAAATGAAACAAATCTAAAGATATTTTTCTAGCAGAATTTATGGAAGTATGTAGTCATTTTATCTATTTTTCATACGAATTATATTATTTCTAAATTTTATCAATAAAATATATTTTAAATATTTTTCATAATTCAGCACATTCACCCAATTCAAAAAAACATTCCCTTTTAGTCAATGAATTTGTGTTTCCGATAATTTCTCATTCCTTTGCACAATCCTCAACCACACATTTTTATGTTATTATTTATGTGGCAGTCAAACTTGATAAAGTTTTGAGTGACATAGAGAATCTCAATTTAGAAATTGGAGTCGTACTAAACCGGACGGTGAATGTCCTACCTCATCATCTTTAGAATACTAGTAACTTGGTACTAGTTCACGAATTAAACAACCCCCTAGATCAAGTTTATACATGTATCAGACCGGTAATACCTCCGGATCACCGGGATTTGGGTCGACCTATCCGAGCTAGTGCGATTTCTTAAACATAGATTTATAATCTGTAAACTCGAATAGACAAAAAGATGAAACACAACTGAATAAGGATTGGAAATTGAGAATCCTCGATCTCGATTAAGGGTGGTGCTACTTCTACACATTTCTTGTACACACTACCTAGTTATTTATGTACACAATGTTGGGAAGAATCATGTAGGGGGTGATAATCGAGTACTTAGATTGCTTAAGGATCGTGTAAGTTCACTTTCCGAATTGATATTTCTCCCCTATGCCTGAGTTACAAGAAATTCAATCTAGGATAATCCTTAAGAACACTCTAGAACTTAGGCACAAGAACTAGAGTCAAACTAGTCGAGTATATGGATTGTTATCTTTAATATGAGTGCCAAAGTGATGAAGATATGTTGGATATATTTACTCCTCATTCTCTGTACGAAATATGGTGATATATAACCATATTACATGTCATGTGCAGTTGCAACACGTTCTAGAATAATTGTGACAGTTTTTGAAAAAACTGCACGAAATTGCCCAACCGCTCTACACCTCGGTCTAGAACCACAGAGTTGGTCTACTGAGTGTTCTACCTAGAGTTCCACTGCCATAGACACTTTGGAATAGAACTCGTTCTTATATACAAGTGTGCACTCCACACCTCCTAGCTTGTATTAGAACACGGTTCTAATCCTCATTGGCACTCATGTCATTTCCAATTACACAAAATGGCCGGTGACACTAAAATCGCCAACAACCCCCCCCCCCCCCCCATTTTAGTGTAACTCATGAAATGACATAACAAAGTTCACAAACGAAAACTTGCCCATAAATGGAAATGTCGATACGATTGAATTTCCATTTTAGTATTTTACACATTCAAAATATTCGAGAATCGGGGTGTCTTACGGATTGAACCCTTCAACCCATTTGAATACCTCAAGATAAAATACATACAAGTTTCTATACTCAACTAGAATACAAACTTGACACAATTATAAAGTCGTGTGTCCTAATCCCATTCATGATCGTATAAAAGCCAAGTCCCAAGCTTTTTGAAGTGCGGCTACACTTCACGATCATATAGGTAATCCCTTTACTCGTGTACCTGCTTACACTTTATCAAAGGAATTATTAAGAAATAAATTCAGCCTCGCTACTACAGGTCCGAACACACACCTTGGGATGATTTTCATTGTGTGTTCCAATCCATCAAGTGTGAGCTTTTCGCATTGAATTCAGTCTCTAACGTTGTATTAGAAGAGAAATGGGTGTCTCACCATTAAGGATTAAATGGACTTTAAACTCATCCCTATAACAGACTTGTGCACTAAGTCCCGGGCCAAACTTTTGGTCAAGTGGTCCGCCAAGTTATGTTGCGATCTTACAAATTCCACCGAAATTACACCTGATGGAGTATATGGGTCTGAGCCCCAGGACCCACATACTCGGAAGAACAGAAAGCACAAGACAACAGAGTGGCGCCCTCGTCGGCCAAGACGCCCCCGTCGGCCGAGAAGAAGCCAACTCGGATTGTGGTCCTGAGTCCAAGGAACCCGAGTGCCCTCGTCGGCCGTGCCCTCGTCGGCCGTGCCCTCGTCGGCCGCGCCCTCGTCGGCCACGAAGACCTCCCAGAATCGGATTCTATACT